TAATTTGGTATTTATGAGTAATTCTATCTAAATTTTCCGTTAGAGACATTGGTACGACCTTGACGTGTCAGACGGTATTGACGTGACACTGATATGCTTGACACAAAAAAATGATAAAAAGAAATTGGCCACATGGCCAACCTATTCTTAACCTTTAAACCCAACTTTTAAATAGTAAACAAGCTCAACAACATTTTTTAATTCTTCTATTCTATAATCCCATAACCCAAGTCCCTTTTCCCATATTTCAATTCTTTAATTCTCTTAAACACAAATCTCGCAACCTAAATCTCCTTATTCAGTTCTCTTAAACCCTCTTATTCATTTTCCTTGAATCCCGAATGTATTTATGCAAAATTCCAACTTCTCGTCGAAACACACTTAAGTAAGAACATCGCTTTATTTATTTTCTTCAATTCCCTTATTCAATTCCCCAAATCCTTTTCTTTAATTCTCCCAAATCCCCTTCTTCAATTCCTTAAATCCCCTTATTCAATTCTTCCATATATCTTCCTTCAATTCCCAAATCCCCTTATTCAATTCTCTCAAATCCCCTTATTGAATTCCCTAAATCTTTTCTTTAATTCCTCTAAATTTCAAATGTATTTAAGCAAAAATTCCAACCCATCCTCGAAACAAGTTAAAGAAAAAAGTAAGGAAAAAAATGCATAGATAAAGTGAGATGGGAAATCACATGGCCATATGAATTGAAGGCTCTTTCTTACTAAGCTCTAAAGATTCCAACAATATTCATCCTTCCTATTTTGAAACCACTCATTTGAAAACTAGAAAAGCTAATCCTTTCATTTCCCATGGCATGTGATTTCCTATCTCCATGAGAATATTTTGAATTTTCTATTGTGAAGGCTCCTCTATGCTATTACTTTTAAATATTCCAACTATATTTATCCTTCCTGTTTCATCCATGTACCTCTTATTCTTAAGAGTGGTTTTGAAACATGAAGGATGAATATTGTTGAAATCTTTAGAACTAATAGCATGAAGGAGCCTTCATATTTGAAAATTTAGAATATTCTAATGGAGATAGGAAATCACATGGCCATGTGAAATGAATGGGTTGGCTTTTGTAGTTTTCAAATGAGAGGTTTCGAAATTAGAAGGATAAATATTGCTTGAATCTATAAAACTTAGCATGAAAAAGCCTTTATTTCCCAAGGCTATGTGGTTTTCCATTTCTCTTTGATTTATGCTCTCTTTGTTCTTACTTTAGTGTGTTTTGATGATAGGATGGAATTTTTGTTAAAATACATTTGGGATTAGGGGAATTAAATAAAGGGATTTGGGTTGCAGGATTTATGTTTAGGAGAATTGAAGAATAGGTAAGGGGATTTGGGTTGCGGGATTTGAAAATAGAAGAATTGTTATTGGGTGTTTTTATTGTTTAAAAGTCAGGTTAAGGGGTTATGAAGAGGTTGGCAATGTGGCCAATTTTGTTTGCCCAAATTTTATTACTTATTAGCATGCTAGCACCATGTTAGCCTCATTTGACAATTCAAGGCCACATGCGTACCACGCTAACGTCTTTAACAGTAAATTTTGATGAAGTTACTCATATTGATTAAATTACACCAAATATTATCAACCCACCATAGTTGGCTATCTTGGCTTAGGTATGCATTCAATAGTGTCCCAACAAATGGTTACTGGAGGTAACGTAGTCCCAAAACTAATGTTGTTCATTGCCCTCACTTATGACCATAAGCTGATTGATGGAAGAGAGGTTAATCTTCTTCTTGCGTTGTACTAAGGTTATTGTGGAAGACCCTTATAGGCTATTACTTGATGTATGAAAGCCTTAACTAGTGACTGTTGTGATATTTCTTGGCTTTTCTAGCACACCTAGCATTAGATATACACCTCTTATTTTAATGATCAAGAATAAATGTTTGAAGTTTTTTAGGGTTTCATTTGTTGATTCCATTTTTTAACGAGTTCCAAAATTACGATTGGCCATTGTTGAACTATATCGAGTGTTCAAATATATATTTCTAGTTTTTGTTGTGCAAAAAAAGAAAGTGTAAGGAACTAAATTAGACAAACTTTTTTGTGAATGACTAAATTCCAACAAAATGTTATAATACAAGAACTTTATGGGTACTTTACTAAAGAATAGAGCACGCAACTCATTGGTAAGAATTCAAAATTTTTTTTTAAAGAATTAAGGGAAAAAAAGAGAGACTTGAGAGATGTAATTAATTTTAAATTTTTGCTTAAATGAGAATGATTGAATGCATTAAGTAACTTTTACCTATTTACGATTTTCAATTTTTTTATTTAATATCTTATATTTAACTAGCTTTTATAAATTTATTATGAAACATATTGAAAAATACGAATACAATTTAGGTCAAAATAACTTTTTCTTTTTCAAAAAAATTCAAATGTATCAATTCAAATCAAATCAAAATCATTAGTTGTAAGAAAGGTTAATTTACTTATTTTATTTATATGTTTGAAAGGTAAACTATCCACAAGACAATTTTCCTTTTTTACCAAATATTTTTTATATATTTATATTAAATTAGATTATACTACCATTTTAGGTTATGGTAATGCTAATGAGGTTAACCTTGGTTTGCCATGGGTTATGGCCGGAGCAATACCTTCAACATGACAACAAGATCATCCGAAAACACTTGCTATATTAATTTAGTACAATAATGATAACACTTTTAAGTTGTATATATTAGATTGCAACATTGAATTTAGACAATACTTAATGGTATTAAAGAAAATGATTTATTTGAAAGTTGTACTTTGATACAGACATTATAATTGATACAATTGTACATATGCTAGTCTTACTACAATGTAAGTGTCAAAATCCATATTGAATGGGATTATGGTAACATTTGGTATGAGAGATACACACCCATATTCACTGCAATATGTTTAATTAAATTATATTATAACGTTTATTTTGAAACAAGCTAACGCAATATAACATTGTAAAGTAATCACATTACAACCAATAGAAATAAAGTGATTGTATTAAAAAACTAATACAATTTCAGATTACAACTTGCTCTACAATATTATTAAACTTGATTTGACTTTTTTATCCTTTTTTATTAAAAAAAAACCATAAATCTCTTTTTAACATGACCTACCCTTCTTGATTTGATATTTTCAAGTATTATCAAACAAATAGAGGAAGTATTCAATAGAAGATCAATATAATAATATTTTAATGAATTTACATATATTAGTAATAAGTATAATCAAGAATAACATTTACAATTCATATAAGAAAATAGATAAATCAATCAATAAAATTCCAAAGCTTAATTTTACCACTGTAAAAGTATTAGAAATAATTTTAAATTTTTGAAAAAATCTATAAAATTTGAAAAACAATATTTTTTTATTTTTATACATTGTAAAACTTTTATAAAACACAGAAATAATCTTTAAATGTTAAAAGAAATTCTAGAATGATCAAAAATAGAAATAATTTTTATTTTTAAGAAATTACAAACGATTAAAAAATCCATAAAGTAAAAAATATATTTAAAATATTTGAAAAAATAGAAGCTATTCTTTTTTATGCTCATAATTTTCTGAAATTACACAACTATTTCCTCTCCGTAATTTTTAATAAATTTTTAAAAATAAAAAATATTTCTCTTTTACTTTTTGATTCTTTTTTCAAAAAATCTCTTGTGGTGTTTTATGATAGGTAAGTTCTGCACTTGAGATTGTTTCCCCATTGCCTAACTGATTACTTAACCATATGATGTACCTTATTTACTTCACAATTGATAATTAAAGTTCAACCAATATCGATGTATTATAGAATAATTTATTCCTATGGTTCTTTATTGTCAAATTTTAATACGTTTCTTTTTGTTTATTTCATATATAAACTAAATTTGTATTATGATAAATAAAAATAAAATATATGAGATTATAATAAAAAATGAAAATTAAATATATGAGATTAAAAATTTATTTAAGAAATGATGTAATATAAAAATTTACAATAAAAAATATAATTATATTAAACTTGTAGTTAATACATAAGAATAATTCTAGAAAGTAATATTACATTTCGAGTAAAAGGTTTGTAAATCAAACGTTGTAATATTATTTTCTTAATATTTTAATTATTAGTTTCTTAATATACCAAACACTGTAATGTTTTTTATCTTACAAACATATTCCCTGTAATGATATTCTCTACGATCGCATTTCATGCAAAGTGATTGCATTGTAAGATACCAAATGTCATACATGTACTTTATCAGGATGGAGACTTGTCTTTTGGTTAACCCGTTCTCATATTATTACGGTAAAATTACATAATTTTGTAGTAAAAGCATCATTTATAATATATATAAAAGTATGAATATTGACAAAATTTTTTATTGATAAAAATGAACATATTTGTTTATTATATTTTCTAATTACCATTTTACATATTTTTATTATAAATATTAATAAAATTTATCTAATTTTCAAATAAAATGTTTTAATTGCATTGATAACTTTAATTAAAAAATATATGTTTTAAGTTTAGTAGCATTGAATAGTTGTAAATTAATATTACAAATTTTCAATTAAACTTTACAATTATGTAAAATTATTATTTAAAATAATAAAAAATAAATATTAATGTACAACGCATGTGACAATAAAATATTATTTAAGTTTAATTAAAAGTACAATTTTATTATTAGGGATTGATATTAAAAAATATAAATCATTTATTAATTTAAATATAGAATCTCCTGAGCCCAAACGTTTCTAAATATGGTATCTTTTGGCCCACGTCGTCCAGATTGAAGGCCCAAAGTCGCAATTTTACTGGCCATTCTCCCGGATTCTAGCCCACGGCCCATACTTCTAACCTCACTAAATGGCCGCAAACAACCCTACTAACCTGAAACCCTAGCAGCCTCTGACCTCATTTATAAACCATATTTCTTCTTCAGTTAGCGGCTCCGAGAGAGGGAGGAAGCTGCAATAAGGTGAGAATAATGGTGTGTGGATCAGGGGTATGCGCGAAGAAAGTGGTGGTGGATGCCCGGCACCACATGTTGGGACGGCTGGCTTCGATCGTTGCGAAGGAGCTGCTCAACGGCCAGAAAGTGGTGGTAGTCAGATGCGAGGAAATTTGCATGTCAGGCGGACTCGTTCGCCAGAAGATGAAGTACATGAGATTCCTCCGCAAACGCATGAACACCAAGCCTTCTCATGGTCCCATCCACTTCCGTGCCCCCGCCAAGATCTTCTGGCGCACCGTTCGCGGGTCAGTCAGTATTTACCTTTCTCATTCCCTCTCCTCTTTATTTTTTCCCGATTTTAGAGAATCTGGAGTTACAGTGAAAATGGGTTTGTCGAGATTTGTGTCTCGTCTGATTCTGTAAAGAAAAGAATGTCCAAATGCCTGCATTTTGAACACTAAATAAAAAATGCATATATGGGAGGAGATTTAATGGTTGATAACATTTGCAGAATGATACCACATAAGACTAAGCGTGGAGCGGCTGCCCTTGCTCGTTTGAAGGCTTATGAGGGTATTCCCTCCCCATATGATAAGATTAAGAGGATGGTCATCCCTGATGCTCTTAAGTAAGTTTCTCTAATGTCTTTCATTTTAATTATAAGCCTTTGATTTTCTTCTAATATTTTGTGATATGTTCTCATAAATGCAATTAGGGTCTTGAGGCTTCAGAAGGGGCACAAGTACTGCTTGTTGGGCCGCTTGTCATCAGAGGTTGGGTGGAACCATTACGACACCATCAGGGTGAGATTATCTTATCAATCCTTACTCATTACTTTGCTATCGACTGTCCTTGAATCCACCTGTGCCCTTATTTTTTGAGATAAGCATTATTTATGTTAATGTATAAAGTAGTACTTAAGTTTCTTATTATTTGTTGAGGAAAGTATTTAATCAATTTCATTTTGTCATTCACTTGTTATCTGTTTTAGAACTAGTGCATATGTACTCTTGTTTTTAGTACCTTAAGAAAGGATGCATCAATGAAACACCTGCAAAAAGGAATTGGTACTGTATGAGGATGTGTTTTGTTAAATGCTGTAGGAATTCAAGCTCCTTTTTTTTTTTTTTTGCAAATAGGAATTCAACTTTTTGATCTCTTAAAATTTTACTTCTGTAAAGAAAAAAAATCAGGAATTCTGCTCTGGATGCATACTGTTGGATTAGTACTTAACCATTTTATGGGATCTGAATCGGTTTTTATTTAACTTTTTTATTATCTTTGTTAATGGTGAGATAAATGCTAGTCTTGCCAGTGGTGTGATCAATGTGGAAACAAGGCAGTGTTGTGCAGATTGAATTGTCAATATATAACATTAATGTCAAGTACCCTTGATTTTGTACAATGGATTATATTTTGAAAGGTTACTTCGCAGTCATTCTTTTAAACCTGGAAGGTGTGAAATTAATAAATGAAAATTCTATTCAAATTTTGTTTCTAATTATACTATGGACTCCAGGAGCTGGAGAAGAAGAGGAAGGAGAGGGCTCAGGTTGCATATGAGAGGAAGAAGCAGCTGAATAAGCTTAGGGTAAAGGCTGAGAAGGCTGCAGAGGAGAAACTTGGCTCCCAACTAGACATCCTTGCCCCTGTTAAGTACTGAGTTTCTAGTGGCTAGCTAGTTTCATACAATTTTGTTAAGGTTATCTGTATGGATTTGGTTTCAGTGTTTTATTCTGTTTCAGATGTGGAGGCTGAAAATTTGTTGAATCTGAGTTGTCCTGTCTTATTTTTGCACGTAGGATCCTTTCAATACGTTTCATATATGTTCATCACGTTGAGTATTGTGATTGCTATGGATGTTTTATATGTTGTGACCATTGGGAATACCGCATTAGAAAACCATTGCATGTGCCGTTTTGTGATCGTAGCCAGTTTAGAAGGTTTGTTCTATTATCAATTTTCAGTTTGCCTGGTGCTGTCTAAATTCTATTATCGATCATTCCATTGCCAAGAGTCTGGAAGCCTGTGCACCTAAACTGAAGTTTTGTTGGCCAGACACTAAACTTCAAAGTTGAATCAACCACAAATGATAATTTCAAGTTTCAATTACAAGCAAAAGAAAGGCTAACATAGAGTTTAATCAGAAAGCATGGTGACTTACATCGCTCGGAAAGCACTGGCTCTAAGCCTAATTATCTGATGCTTCACAAGAATTGATGTTCGTCTATTTTGTTCAATGTCTATTGCGTGCATGTTCATACTAATATAAATCCAGAACAAATGCACCAGAATTCCACAGCATAATGGTACAACCAATGACATTCACCCGAATGTAAAACTTGCTCCTAAGCCTCTGCTTCTTCGCTGCTTTGAATGCTATTGTCTAGCAGAGCCAGTCCACCAGGGTACTCAAAAGTTGGAGACAATCAGGTCTCGCGGGCCAGTTGATAGAGTCCCACAGGCCCCCAGAAGCCTAGAGTAATCCATCCCTCTATTGATGTAAAAACCTGGGGCTTTGTACCATTTTTCATCCTCTAGAGTGCTGTTCTCAGTACCACCATCTTGCTCCTTGTCGTCTCCAAGGCACATGGTATTTGAGTGGAAGTCCACTAAGGCCTAGATTTCCCATAAATGAAGTAGCATGAAAGCGCTGCCAATGAGTGCTCAAGGGAATTTTTTCTCAAAATGTTATTTGATTAATTCAAGTAACTCAAGCAAGACGAATCGGCCAAGCCCAATGGAACTTCACCAGAAAGCCGGTTTGTAGACAAATCAAGAGATTCTAGCACTTTCAATCTAACAATTTCTCTAGGAATGATACCGCTCAACATGTTTCTCGACAGGCTTAAGGTAATCAACTCTACAAGACTTGTTAAATCTACAGAAATTCTCCAGTCAGGTTATTGCTCGAGAGATCAATGACCTTTAGTAAGTGTGTTGCCATACTCTTGCTCCATCCCTTTCCAAATAGCTAATGCATATTCGGCGCAGGTTGAAGCTGAATGCAAAATGGTACCCACCACTACCATCCCAATTAGTCTCAGAATAAAAATTGGTATACTGCATGGTTGCATCTGAACTTCTCTTTTCAGCCACGGCAGTAGAATTTTCTAAACACGGTCGAAATTGTTCTTGATATATGGATTTGTTTTCAAGTTTACAAGGAGTTGGTAGTATATTACCGGAGAACTCATTTGTCCGTTGACCAAAACAATCAAACTCAATAAGTTTTTCCAAAATTTTATTTTCACCGAGATGTAAAAAGTTTCAAACTTCTGCAATTTCTCCAGGATGGAGGCAGCTCACCGGAAAATTTGTTAGCCGCACAGAGCTAGGTATTTATTCATTTATTTTTGCTCAATCAAAAGTGATATTTTATTAAAACACTGCATTAAACGTAAACTATCCGCCGAAGTTGTCCAAAGGCAGGGGCAATTCAATATTTTTAAGGCCTAAAACGCTTAAATATTTAAATGAGGTTCTTGTTATTGAAATAAAAAAAAATACCGTTAGTTGAAGAAAATTAAAAACATATTACGTTTATTAAAAATTAAAAAAAGAATTGAGAATTATTAACATTATGAAAATTGAGAAATGATAAAAAATAAAAATTTATTAAAAACATAATTGAGGAAGTGAGAAACTATGTCATTTTATTAATTATTTTGATTTTTACAAAATTAGAGAATTGAGATAAATAATAAAGGTAGGAAGTGAAAGAAAATATATATTTAATAAACACTTAATTTAAGAAATATTTATTAAGTATTTTAATTTTTATATATTTTTAATATAATTAATTATATTATATAAAATTATGAGGCCTAAAGCAAGAGCTTTGATGGTTTTATTCTAAAGTTGACCCAGTCTCAAGGTTTACAGATAGTAGATGTTACCATCACATCAGCTACCATACGGTCTATCTAGCCATATTACATAGAATCTAACAATATAAACAAACCCACGTATGAAGGTATGAACTAAGTACACTATCATAAACAAGCAATCTTAACCATGATAATGTTGGTATTTACCCTTGAGCCAATATGATTAGTCAAGGAATATATTGTCATTTAATGCATACTTAACCGAATAACAATATGTAATAGAGGTTTCTTTTCATGTTAATGTTATAATAAAGAGTTATTAAGTACTAATTGTATGAAGCTTATGGGACATAAAGGCCTTGCATGAAAATTATAAAGTTGTTATAATTATAAAATCACTATGCATCAAAACCATGTTCTTAAAATTATTTCTAGTCATTCTATTATCAAGACAGGACATTGAAAATGCTCAAAGATTGATGCATGTTAAGCTTTTTTACTTGAGAAATAAGCAATCGATCTCATAGATTGAAGTATATGTGATACTTGGGGATAACATATGGGTGCTTGTTAAAGAACAAGTTCACTGAAAATGACCTGCTATGAGAACTCTATTTGATGTTTCATTTAAGTGGCTATGAAATATGTTCTCATGTGATAGTCGTGCAACTAGTTCTCAGACTTGAGATGCCAAGTCATCTTGTATGGGGAATGACATATTTTAATTTTACCTCTATGGGTTTAAAAGCGACTAGATGCATAAATATGGTGTTTTTGGGTATGCCATGAAGTATGTAAAGGTGAATAAGTGGTCAAGAGAAGTGATATGAGGGGATGTACCTCACTTGTTATCAATTATTGATTAACTTATATAAAGTCTTTTACCAAAGCAAGATGAATTTGAGGAAGTTAATTTCCTAAATTCATAAGGTTAGTCATGAATTTTGCAAACTAATATGGAATATCATAAATAGACACCAAGCCATGCTTAATGACATATATAGGATTTTTTATGAAAGGACCATATTACACCGAGAGGCTTATCACTAAAAGGCTTTGTTAAATTCCTTAATTAACTCTCTAACATTTAGGTAGTCATAATGTATTACTAGAAGCTGCTCATGATCTAGAAATATAAATCAGTTATCAAATTGATATTTGATTAGGATTTATATTTTTTGTCAACATGTTAAAAGCCTAATGGGTCACACACATTAAATGACATGATTGAGATTAAATCAGGATAATCAATTAAGTTAGACTTAATTGGAATAAACCAAAATAAAGTGAAAAATTAATTAAGTTCATAAGGACTTAATTGAATTAAAATACAATTGTTGTATCTAAGGATACAACTTAGTTTGGTTATATAAATATGTTATGCTGGCAAACTAAAACTTTAAGCTTTTAGCCATTTCTTAACCGTTTTATAAAAATAAGAAAAGAAAAGTAGTTTTCTTTATCTTACAAAAAAAAAAAGATTCAGCAAGAATTTTTATTTTTCTGTTTTAGAAACAAAATTTGCTAACACAAGTAAAATCTTACTTTTGAGAAGGTCTTATTCAGTCATTGTGTGAGTTACTATTAAAGGACAAATACTTGAGTAGCTAAAGATTTGATAAATCCTAAAAATGAAAAAACAAATTTTGGAAACTTGTTTGGCGCCACGACCCTACCTTCCATGGTGCCCCAACACTGTGTTTTCAGGTTTAAGTATGGGCCATCATCCTTAAACTAATGCCGTAACCTCCCTTCACCAGCACCATGGCACTGTGGCCTCTAGTCCTCCTATGATCCTCTATTGCATCTTGGCACCGCAGCATTGAGCAATTCAAGGGTATGGCCTTCATTCCATCATGGTGCCTTGTGCAGAACTACAACAGTCCATCTTCTTTCAACACACTTTTCACCTTGAGTTGAACTGAACTAGGAAACATGGTAAACATAAAACTTGTAACCCTATTTCTTAGATTTCCAATGATTCAAAAGTCACATAGTTGGACTTCTGTAGCTCAATTTATTCTCAAAATATTGCATCATGTGTGAACAAAACCATCACCATGCTAGCATGGATTTTTATCAAATAAATCATTTTCATCAAATTTCCTACAAAAATAATAAAATAGATTAGCAATAACTAAACTTAGAGTAATTGAAAGCAAAATAACATAAAATTAAACTAAAATACTTAAAGTAAACTAATCATCATATATTGAACTAAATTAAGCAAAAAACTAAAATACTTAAATTCTGAACCTAAAATCTCAAAAACTTAACTACTGAAGTCTCCATAATGTGACAAAATAACTCTATATGGTAGAGTTATCACACCCTCAAATTTAAGATTTTGTTAGTCCTTGGGCAAAACGTAAACTAAAATGAATTAACATAAATGAATAAAACAACTTAACTAAAAATGAATTGCACCAACTTAATAATCACCTTTAATATCTTGATAAGTTATTCCATATTCAACTCTAAGCAACACATAAATATTATTCAAGATCATGTTTCAATTCAAATGCAATCTCATCATCAAATGGATTTTTATGTCCATGTGCAGTCTTTTCACCAAGAACATCATAAAATCCAGATAAGTTTGGACGCATGCAAAATTCAAATTAGTACTAGAGTTCTATAGGTTTGCTTTTCATCTCTCTCTTCACTAATATAAACAAACACTTAATCAAAGATCATTAGGACTTTATTAAGCTTGTAATGTATGGCTAGGGTCAAAGTGGGATATGGAATATTAATGTGGCTCAAATCACCCTAAGCAAATAATCATTTTAGGACCTATTTAGAGTTTTATTTTTCTTCACCCAATACATCACTTTTTCATCAAAATTTTCTTTTGTTCAACATTTCATTCTTTTCTTCTTTTCCTTCCCTTTGTTTTTTTTCTCAATATCACACTCTTAAACTTATTTCTTTTATTGGGTAGTGAAATGAATACAATCATGCTTTTGAGCTTTGAATCACTTTTCATCTTTACTATCTTTTTCACTATCTAGCTCATTATACTTCCTAAATTGACTTATACACTTAGGAGTAACGGATGCAAAAATTGAAAAT